ATATCTTTTATTTTCTTTCTCATATATTTTATCTTTGTCCTGAGTTACATTCTCCATATTGTCAGCAGATACCTCCCTAGAGTCCATTATCTCTCCTTTAAATCCAATCTAACTTCCTAACCTTACAAAAGCTCAATCCTGCAGAGAAGTTGGAAGAATGGTATAATAGACATTTATACACCTTCCTCCTAAATTCAGCCATTGCTAAGATTTTTGTCAGATTTGTCTTCTCTCTTCTCTCCTCCTCCCCAATATGTACTAAATGTATTACTATCCACACACATTTTGATGATACTTTTGAAAGTAAAATTCAGACATTATGGTAACTTTCAGAAACCTTTCAGAGCCCCTGCACTCTGTCCTTCAGAGCCCCTGTACTGGTCACGTTCCACAGTGAGTAGAAGCTCCGAGGCTCCCTCCACAGTGCAAAGAGGAATCATATGCTCACAGAGACTGCATGATTTGCTCAAGCCACACAAGGTAGACACGAGCAGGGGCAAGAACCAAGGTCTCCCAGTGACTCTTTTCTACTGATCGAGCCGGGAAATTGGCTGCTCAGAGGCTGAGTCCTGGTCCTTCATGGCCTTGAATACAGTGCCCTGGGCCTTGTTTTCCCTGTGGGGCATAGAGAGAAGCTGGAGTGGAAGGGAGAGACTTCAGACAAAGCAGGCAAGCTGGATATCTACTGCTTGACTCCATGCATTCATTAGATGCACACTTTGACACATATCTCTGGGTTATCTGCACAATCACACTTTGAAAAAGAATTTTGAATCCCTTGATTTATCTTTTTGTTATTATTTTTCATAATAGTTTTCACTCAAAGGCAAGAGCATGCTTTCAAACTGACCTTTTAAACTCTGCAATGCTATGCCACAAAGGGGCACATGAAAGGAACAATGGGCACATTCTCAGTGTGTGACCCTGCTTGAAGTCTCCTTTGGTGAGGACATCAATGGGAAACGGGTACAAAGCGTCTAAGCTGCTCCTACAGCTGATGGATGGCCCTCCGGGTGGAAGTCCTATGACCAGGGTGAGGACCGGCTGTTCCCTGCTCAGTGGGACATCATCCCCACCCTCTCACTGTGGCTGGTGGCCACTCAACTGCCCTTAGGAGCCACTGAGAACACTTGGAAGGACTGGACTTTGTCCCATGGCTCCCAGGGAGTGATGGAGGTTTCTGGACAGGAGAAGGATGTGCAAATTAATAGGAAGATCAAAGTATAGCATTTGGAGACAGTGGCCTGCATTTTAGTCCTGGTCTGGCACTTTGAAGTTGTGTGACCCTGTGTAAGTTACCTGGCTTCTGCGAGAGTCACCTTGGCATTCAGCACCTGTTTATGGCTCACTGGGCTGGACACCTGGGACATGAGAGACTAAGAGCATCCTCTGGTCCTCTCTTTCCCCTTAGTTACTTTTCTTACCAGGTGTGGCACTTTTCCTTGGCTGTTTGTAGGTAATCTATCTTTATTCTAAAACTTTTCTCTTTCTCTTTCTCTTTCTGGTAGGTCCACTATTACCAAACCCAGTGGCTTAAAACAATATGAATTTATTATCTCACAGTTCTGGAGGGCTGAAATCTGAAACCAACTCCGCTGGGCTAAAGACAGGCTATTACTGGGGCAGGGTCTCTCTCGTGGCTCTGGGAAGTCTATTTCCTTGTCTTTCTCACCCTCTTGTGCCTACTGTACTCTTGCCTGTGGGTCTTCCTCCATCTGCAGCACACTCCACTCCAGTTCTACCTCTGTCATCACATCTCATCTGTGTCAGAGTTCTTCTGCCTTCCTCTCATAAGGACCCTGTGAGTACGTCTTGCCTGGAGAATCCAGGAAAATCTCTCCACCCCAAGGTCCTCAACTAAATCCCATTTGCAGAAATCCCTTTGCTATATAAGATAACATTTGCAGACTCTGGGGTCTAGGATATGGGTGGGCCAGGTGACCGCATCATGTCATGCAATTTATGCTTGTTTATTTTACACATCTAGGAGTCCTCCAGGAAGGGAGTGAAGCCTGCTAGATAACCACACACTGACGCTGAGTGAGTGAGTTGAGGGGAAAGGAATATTGCAGTTAGGTTTTGGAGGCTGTGTTGGTTTGGAGGATATTTTGCAAGGGAAACAATATAATACAGGACACATATTTTATAAGATTATTTACAGTACTCACCCAAGGAATGATATACCTAAGAGAGTGCAGGAAATCTGTCTACACACTAAGGACCAGGAATCCAGCTGAGGGCCTGGATCCCGTGATAATGTCCTGCATGAGTCCAGCTGAAGACCTAGAGCAGATAATAATGCCTCCCATGAGTCCACCTGGAGGCCTAGAGCCCATGACAATGTCTCATGCAGGCCTGTTTCATGAATCTGTGCTGGGAAGGCCCAAAGATCAGTGGTGGAATCTAGAAAGTCTATGTCAGCAGGATGAAGGATCTGTGCCAGTAGGCTGAGGGATCTGCACTGGAGTCAGAAAGTGATGCTCAGAAGAACCAGAGCTCCCCTGAAAGGTACCATAGCCATCCCCAGCAACAGTGAGGTCCCGAGCTCCTCCAATGATCAAGATGGCCAAGTTCCCATCAAAGAAGCCAACACAGCAAGCTTCTCAGGAGACTAGGTGTACCATCTTCCCCTCCTGAACCAGGAAGCAATGCTCAAAGTGAGGGTCAGAGCTCCCCCAAAGTGAACCAAAACTATTCTCAGTGCTAACAAGGTTCTGAGCTCCTTGGAGGATGAAAACAGCCAAGTTCATCAGGAAAGCCAGCATGACAAGCTCCTCCAAAAGAACCAGCAGCTCCTTACAACCTCTCTTTTGCTCCCAATAGCCTTTCTCAGCTCCTAACAGCCTTATTTCTTCTTCTCCATTCTGCCTCTTATGCTGCTGGCAATAGTCCTCAGGTGGGCCTTGCACACCCAGCACCACACTTACTCAGTTCAGCTGGGGGTTACAGGTTGACCACCAGTTGTCAGTTCACTACAGAGGCTTAGTATGAGTTTGTCAAAAGACACTCCACATGGGTGAGTAGCTTATGAAAAGTTGGAGTGTCTTGGGCTGAGTTGTTCAACACTGGAAATGCAGAGGAAACATGAGGGCCTAGAGTGAGGTAAACCTGAGTGGCGGGTGACCAGCTCAGGGGGAGTCTTATAGGGTACTCTAGTGAGCCTGACCTTTATTTTATAAGGAATCTGTTATATGTGGTGGCTGCTCCCATTACCTTTGGAGTTATAGCTGCTGTTTAAATTTCTGTGCTGACGTTTACTGTATTACCCTGGAAAAATGTCTAAACCTCTCTGTTTAGTGAGGTGGAATAGTTGCTTCATAAAGCTATTCTGAGAAGCAGATGACATTGAAGGCTTTCAGAGTACTCTGCACAGGGCCTGGAATGGTCAAAGGAGCCAGAGGGAATTTCTTATTGTTGCTGTTGTTATTTTTATAAATGTGGTTGTGGTTGCTGTTGATGGTGGGGTGGTGATGACAGGGAACATGTGAAGACTTGCTGCCAAGTGACTGAGCCATGATCAGACTTGCTTTGTAGAAAGGTGACATGTGACGGTGTGGGGTGCAGGAAATCATGAAGGCATTAGAGGTCACTGGCATAATCTGGGTGTGAGATCAAGAGACTGAGAGCTGAAGAGGGTTCAGGAGAGATGACCATGAGTGCTTGCAACTGTCTTTGCCCCTGCCTGACGTGGCGGAAGATAGATTGTAGAGGCCGCCTACCCCAAGCACCTCCACCCTCACTTTCTGATAGAGAAGAGAGAGGGGAGCGCAGTTCCTTGTCCTCTGGGCAGAGCAGGTAGAGATGGAGAAATGTGGCCTGGCAGAGGCTTTGGAGGGAAGTGTGGTTCATCCCTTCCCAGCGGGGTGCTCCTATTGGCTGCACCTCCACATCCTTCTCCCCACCCTCTGAGCTGTGACCCCTCTTTCCAGCTCATCCTTGCACCATTCCCCATAAGCACATTGCTAGAATCCTGGAGGGGTCAGACTCAAGTGGAGGAAATGCTCTAGCGAGTGGGAAGGTTGGGGGAGCTGCCTGAGAGGGAGGTGGAGGAGCTCGGTGTTCTGGAGCCAGCAGAGAAACCAAGTGCAAAGCAGCGTGTGCTTGCACGTGGGTTGTGTACTGCACGTCCCCCAGTCTTCCCCTCACACCCTTCATACATCTTGTGGAGGAAACCAATTCAATAGAGTGCACTGTGGCAAGACTGTGATTGTTACTCCAGTCCTATCTTGCCCTGCAAGGATGTTGGAGGAAAATATATTTCAGTGCCACATTCAAAAGGGCTGTCAGTTTTTAACATAGTAAATGGGTTTTCAGAGAGTGATGTAATATTATTATTTTTAATAAGTGCTTTTCAAAAGTGATTTTCCTTTAGTTTAGATTGATGCATGCTGGAGGGAAAAAAAAGAGTTCAAGGGGGCCACTTTAAGTTCAGTGTGCACGCACCTGAATTTGCAAGTCAGAATCACAAGGTGACTTTTCAGGTAATGGGAAGGTACAGGACGGGTTCCTTTACACATACTAATGCATTTTAGAGGGCTCTTTTAAGTAGCTGCTGATGATTTTACAGGGAGGCTGGGAGAGGGGAAGCAAGCAAAGAAAAAGCTCATGGAGATGAGATGAAAACATCCTGTGCAATGATCAGAAAAACTTGATCTCTTTGTAAGTGTGTCTCCCAACATTACTGCAGTGACACCAGTGGAATATGTTGGCATTCGGTGACTGGCAGGTATCAAACTACAGAGGTCGGTGTCCAGCATGGTTGGTGTTCGGCTTCCTTGTGAGAACCCAGCACTATCGGGTCCCTTGGAGGCCATTTGGTTCTATGCTATGTGGTACCCCTGGCTAAGAGAGAGCCATTCAATCAAGACACATCCTGCATGGCAGGACCCAGCAGTGCCACCTCTAGACTCCCATCCAGGGCCCCTCCCAGTCTTCTTTGCTCTGCTGCTTGTGTCTCTCTGTCATGCTGTTCTGGCTCACTGACATTTTATCTTTTCCAGGAAGAGTCAGTTACCAGCGTCCAACAAGGTGGATGATGAGCTGGATGCCCTGCAGCTTGGTAGGTATAGTGGGTGCCTCTATTGTGCCTGCAGGGTCCCCTCAGCCGCTCCCTCTGGGAGACGGTGAGTGATGGGTATTTTCTCTGAGCAGGGATAGGGGCTTTTTTCCTCCCCCTGTGACCTCAGGAAGCAGGGGCAGGCGTCTCTTTTCTGTCCACATCTTTTCCACTGCCTGCTTTTTTTTTCTCCCAGAGAAGTCCTTCTAAGCAGTCTAGTCATTTCAGGAGGCACACTGCTGGACCAGAGAAAGCCTCTCTGCATTGGCAGTTTCTTTAGAACCATTCAGAGCCTATGGAGATTTTTAGGATACAGTTCTATTGAGCTTTTCAGAATACCAGTGTAGCTCTGTCAGACAGGTCTATCCTTTTTGAAAGCTTACAAACATATTTGGTAAAATACAAACATATACCATATGGATACGCCTATGGAGCTACTCTCTAAGACCAAGATAAAGAACATTTTATTCTGCTCTTAATTTTGAAGTAGTTTTTGTTCCTCCCTGCAAATTGCTGCTCCTTGAAGACCAAGAGCTTGGCAAATGCAGCTGTAAAACTGAGGATGCTGGGCCAGGGATAGGACATGAGAAGATGAACTTGAGTGCTGTTGACATTTGCTCCTCTTCTGGAAGACAGCCACTTACCTGTTGGCTGTTTTGGCATATGAGAGCTGTTCACACACTTTTGTTCTCCCCTCTAAGTATTCCCTTTTAAGCTGTAAGAAGAAAGCAGTGCCCCCTTAGAAGTACCTTGTGTGAGATGTGGGGCCTCATGGTCTGCTTTGATCTAGTTGAAAGTGAGGACCAGGCCCCTGAACAGCAGAGACAGGGATTGTTTATGCTGCTTAACTCTCTTCAGAGGTAACAGAGCCTCTGAGTCTTAATTACCAGAAATGGCTGGCGGGGTGATCTGGCCCTGCACAGGAAGGGCAGGTTTCTGTCCATGACTGTGCAGAGTAAAGGATGGAGTCAGGGAGCCCTGACATCCACAGCCTTCTGGGAGGCACTGCACTTGAAGACTTCCTGATGACAGGCCCTCATGTTTGGGCAGAAAGCAAAGAAGTTTCCAGCCTTCAGAACCCAGAGAGCTTCTGTTAAAAGGAAGGCTTTTAGCAATTCTCAGAAGCCAGCTGTTTGGTGTGTGCATGTTCACGTGGCTCAGCTAACTATTTAGCAAAGGAAAAGGAGATAAAGAATAACAGCCCAGGGCACATAGTCACCCAGGGAGTTCAGGGATCAGGGAACAGCAAAGAGTAGTGTTAGGGGAAAGGGGGCGCAGCAGTGGTGCAGAAACAGCCATCACCTTTGATTAGAGGGGCATCACCCCTGCCCATCCCAGTCCAGTTTCCTGTGGTTTGGTTCAGTGACTTTTGTCAGTGGGTCCCCACCAGGGCATAGGAAATGCTCTGAGGCAGACCAGAAGAGTGAAGGAGGGCACGGCTGGGGGACAGAGGAGAGAGGGTGTCCTACCATGGCGGTGCATGAAGCATACGACCAGTGTGCCCAAATGCTTTGAGAAAGCAGATGCCAAGTTCTGTGCTGGGTTCTGGAAGTTTCCATAGCAAGGTAGCATTTAGGCTGGACTTTGAAGGGTAGGCGAGATCTTGCCAAAAAGAGGTGTGGGAGGAAATGCATAGGCAAAGGCCTGGAGTGAGAAAGGCAGGTGGCCTACAGGAAGTGGGGGGCCGGGGCCATGGGGCTGGGGCAAAGGCTGCTGTGGCAGAGGCCTGTGAGTGCTGTACACAAGGGTTGCGTGGAGCCATGGGGTAGTAAGGGGCCCTGAGCATCTGCTGTAGGGGTGATACAGCCAGAACTTTGGTGTTAGATGGATTTTACGGTAAGCGCCTGGACATCAGAGACTGTGAGGGGGCCTTGGAATGGTCCAGAAAAGCAGTGATGAGGCTCTGTGCTCCCTGGAGAGCCCTTTGGGTATTTCAGGGTCCTGCTCAAATTCCGTCTCTATGGGCCACTCCCTGACCTTTTTTTGTTTTTTTTGTTTGTTTATTTGTTTGCTTTTTTCTGGTACTGGGAATTGAACTCACAACCTCGCACTTGCCAAGCAGGCGCTGTGCTGCTGAGCTAAATCCCCAGCCCCACACTCCCTGACCTTTTATGGCAGAATTCATTGCTGCTAAAGACCCTTGTACTGCTTCTTATTTCTGCACCCACTTACTGTATTGTATTATAATTCATCAAGGACTGTCTCCCCCTCTGGGCAGGGAGCTCTTTGAAAGCCTTCATCAGAATTCGACTTCCCCAGCTCCGTGTTGTCCCTGGCACATCAGTCAAGGGTGCTCAATAAAGAACTTAATAAAAAATAGAAAAGTAATGACACATCCCTGTAACAGTGGCGGGAAGAGGGTGGCAGGCAGGTGTGAGGCATTCTGCAGCAGTGTGTGAGTGGGAGAGGGCTGAGGTTGCAACCTGGGGTGCCCCAGAAAGTGGGCAGAGGGAGAGGCTTTTATCAGAGTGGAAGCCTGGAGAATTGCAGAAGACATTTGGGGGTTAGTGGGAAATACTGACCCACTGATAAAGATGTAATATTCAAATGGCTCATATGGATAAACAGCTATTAGGCCAGGCCATTCTCCCTGTGGACTCCTGCTTGAAATGAAATGTGTGCCTTCTCTCTCTCTCTCTCTCTCTGTCTCCCTCTGTCTTTCTCTCTGTCTGTCTCTCTGTCTCTCTCTCTCTGTCTCCCTCTCTCTCTGCTTGTTACTTTCAACCAGACATTTATACGAGTGCCTTAAAAATAGCATTCTCAAACCACTGGCATTTGCAGATGGTTTTGTCTGCTTGGCCGACATGTCATTCTGGAGCACTCTGTTTTTCCCTTGCATGGCGGTCTCACCACATGTGGGCCCAAGGCCTGCCCTGTGGTCCTAAACCAGCTCCCTGCACCAGGCTAGTTCTTCCCCAAGAAGCCCAGGGAGGCTGCCTGCATCTAGGAGCTCCCCTTCCTGTGCTTTCTGGACCTGCTTCCTGGGCTTCTAGCTCACTTCATGGGGCTGGGCAGACCCTGCTCCCTCTCTAGGCTTAAATACTGTCCCTTCTGTGCCTCCAGAAAATGCTGCGTGGGGCCTGGTGGAATCTCTCAGGTTACTGCAGCCCTTAGTTTGGGGCCCCAGTGAAATTAATCCTACATCTGTTCTTCCAGCCAGTTCTATCAGGCAAAGCCTGCCTTCTCCTCCCTCTTCCTTCCCTTCCTTATTTCCTTTCACCCAGCACACCCTCTGGAAATTCTTCCTCTATAATCAGCCATTCTCTTAGGCTTAAGCGGAGTCCTTTTGCTGGCAGATGTCCTCACACACATGTAATATTGTTTGTGTGCATGTATTTTTACCTAATGTAAATAGTATCACATTATACACCTCATTTGATTTTTTTACTTTCTCTACCCTGTGCCATGTTTTTAAGATCCATTCTTGAGGCTGGGTGAACATCTGGTCTTTATTTTAGGTTATTTTTGTAAAGTTAGGTCATGGGGTAGCTTTTTCAGGGTTTCTAACTAAGAGGGGTTCTCACTTCAATTCAGCTTTTTATTTAAATTCCAGACTTTTCTTCAGCCTAAGGGTAGATCAGTCTCCTAATTCGGGAGCCTTAGTCTAGTTTACCTGGTGCTATGGCTGGCTCTTTCCTAGGGCAGAAAAGGAGGGTGTGGAATAAGATATGAGCTGCATATCCTGGGGTTGTTGATACCCCTCATCCCAACCAGTCCACTCTGGAACCTCCTCTGGGGGCTATAGTTTAAGGGCCTGCTGGAGTCTGCTCCCCTTGGCTGTGCTGGCACACTTGCCTTGAAATTGTCTCCCTTGGGTCCTTTGCCTGAGTGTTCTGGTAAATGCCAGGTTGGAAGAGTGCAAGGGGCCTAGGCCAGCTAGGAAATTGGGGGCCGGTGCTGCCAAAGAGTCCAGTGGAAGCCTCTCTGGGTCTTAGTTGCCCCAAGTATAAAAGAGCAGTATCTGGATATGGTTTAGTGTCCCTGCTGGCTGCTAAGGGGAGGCAGGATGGCAGAGTGATTAGCAGTCAGCACAGTTCACAGCCTGTCTCTGCCACTTTTCGTTTGCCTGATGTGGGGCCAGGCACTGTGCTCCTCTATGCCTCAGTGTCCTCATCTGTCAATGGAGGAGGTACAGTGACTCTCTAGGGCTGCAGATGTAGCTCAGAAGTAGAGCGCTTGCCTGGCATGTGTGAGGGTCTGGGTTCCCTCCCCAGCACTGCCAAAATAAGAAAAAAGAAAATACTCTCATAGGGATGTTAAGAGGGTTGGATAAAGCAATCTAAGTGGTCAGTAAATGTGAGCTACTATTATTATTTTTTAAGAGCTGGGCACATCTTCTTTCCTAATTCGGTCCTTGTCATGCATATCCTCAGGTAACAGACCTATGCACCATACCCGCTCTGTCAGAGGTGTCTCTGTGCCAGGCTTTTCTGCACCTGGGTCCCAGCACTTAACTCACTGTGTGCCGACATGTGACAGTTTCTAGTGGGCCAGTGCTAAATCCCAGCCATCAGCATCCTGGTGGCATGAGAGGGGATGGGTTGTACAGGAACCAGGGCCCCCTTGTCCTGCTTTCTTTCCTTCTCGTGAAGCCCTGGGGGGCTCAGAGCCAATGCTGGGTGGAGGTGGGAGGAGCCTCCTTCTGCTCAAGCTGGCTCTGAACTTGCCAGTGTCTGTGGTGTTAATGACTTCCTGTTCCATTCTCCATGGGTCATACCGTGGTCATGGTTTTCTTCCAGAGGACGTGGAGGATGAGTTGATAAGGGAAGATGTCATCCTGGCTCCAGCCCCGTCAATGCTCAAGATGCAGATAGTGTCAAAGCCCATTGACCTCTCAGAAGCCAAGGTAGGTGTTACCTCAGAAGTGGAAGGAGAATTCTATGTTAAATATGTGCTCAAGTGGACAGCATGATTTTGGCATTTTTGGCCCAGTCCTTCTCATTGTCATCTCTTGGTTATTGCTGAATTGAAAATTTGAGTGCAATGTCAAAGAAATTTCAGCCAAGGGACAGGAAAACTGTTCTGGTCCTGGCAGCTCTCTTTCCCTCCCCAAGACTAAGAGTGAGGGAGAAGGGTGCGTTATCCTCATCCAAACACTTTTTTCTTTCTTTCTTTTAAAAAATATTTGAGTCTTGCTATGTAGTCCAATCTGGCCTTGAACCTGTGATCCTCGGCCTCAGCCTTCTATACGCTCAGCCATACACCATTGTGCCTGGCTAGGACCCAGTTCTTCGTGTGTCTCAGAGCTGGTTCACCACATCCTTACCAGGCACAGCCCAAAGTGTGATGAGAATGGGACATTTGTCCCTGTGAGCCTGGCTGTGCTCCTGCAGTGGCTGTTGTGGTGGACCTGGGTCCTGTGCAGCAAGGGAAGGACAGGGAGTGTGGACAGTTGTTCAGCACCATCCAGGTTTGTACCTGTGACCCCTGGAAGGGACCCATAGTCACAGGACATAGGGAGTAGGTTCCTGGGCTTAGCAGCCTGCTCTCTAGGGGTGTCTGGGACTCCGCACTACTCTTAGCTCCCAGGATGGCCTCACCCTGGCCTCTCATCCAGGGTCCAGGAGAAAGCATGGAAACTGTTGTGTTCATAGCCAGCCTCCTCTTTTCACCTACTGTGTGTTTACTTGGGCACAGATCAACAAACTCAAGACTTTTCTAGAGACTTTGTTCTTTTCCTTCCTTCCCCTTCTCTGCTTCCTTCTCTTTCCATTTTCCCCTTTGAACCCACATTCAAGGGGACTGGAAGTTGGGGACTCTCACTCTGGATGCTGTAGCCACAAGGCTGGGCTTCTTTATAAAGGGTATTTCTATCTGGGCTTGGACCCTTGGGTATCCCTAAAGATTGCACAGCAAAAGCATCTAGGAAACAGTGAGGCTGGCAGAGAGAAAAGGGGGACCAGGGGATGGGGGGCAAGTAAAGCCCAGACTTCCAGGCTGTCCCCTACCCTGCATCTAGCGAGGGGCTGTCAGTCTGTGCCTAAGACAACACAGAAGGGGTTGGGCCAGGAGATCCAAAGCTCTGTAGTTCTAGGCTCTCAGGGAATGTGATTCAAATACCGAGATGACTGTAATTGGCACCAGAGGAGAACTGAGCTGTCGGATGCATTCACACCTCCAGTGTGCCGTCGGCCCACACTTGGTGCCACAAACACTTCTGACATAGACAGAGTTCCTTATACTTAAGGGAAACAAGAAGAGAACAGATTCTGATGGGGAGTAATGGGTGTCAGTAGGATAGGCCTGTCCTGAGAGGGACCCGACAACGAAGGGGAGCTACAGAGCCCACCTGTTGGTCCTGGGTCTCACTTGAGCCTTTGGAGTCCCCGTGGATGTAAAATTGTGGCTGAGAGAGGGCTGGTCCATGAAGGGGGAGCAGCGCAAGGTCCTACCTCCTTGTTGGGTGCTTCCCAGTGGGGAGGCGTTGGTTAATCCTGCGGCTCTGGATGGCGGTGCTTGGATTGATGGGAGGTGAATAGTGAGAGCGACAGCATCCAGAGGCCTAGAGAAGACAGCTCTGAGCAAATGGAAGGGCTGCTGTGAGCAGGTGGGGTGTTCTGGCAGAGTTCATGGGAGGTCACTCACAGGTTGTGTCACAGAGTCTTTTTCTGTAAAGGATTAAGCAGCATATTTTCAGTTTTGCTTGCCCTGTGGTGTCTGTTGCAAATACTCTTCTTTATTGCTATAATGTAAAAGCAGCCATAGACAATATGTAAATAAATGAACATTGCCCTGTGCTGATAAAACTTTATTTATAAAAATAGGTAAGGGCTGGATTTGATTCATAGGTCATTACTTGTCAGCCCTGTACCAGAACACTTCTTCTCAAACCTGGCTGCAAAGTGAAATCACTCAGTTTTTAAACTACTGATACCGGGGCTGGGCATGTAGCTCAATAGTAGAGCACTTGCCTAGCATGTTTGAGGGCCTGGATTAGCTCCCCAACGTTGTAAGAAACCAAAAGCATGAAACTACTGATACGGGAATCTTACTCTAGGGAATTTGAATTTAATTGGCCTGGCTGAAGGCCTGAGTATCAGAATTATTTTTAAGAACTCCTTAGGTGATTCCAATGTGAGGTCATGTTTGAGAGCTTCTAGTCTTTCCTATGGAGGAGCAGAAGACCCCTAAGATCCTGTGGAAAGCTAAAGTTTCACATTTCAAGATCCGCATAAGGAATCTACAAAATTTTGGCTCATGTTAGCCCAGACAGGTTTGGTTTTCAGACGTTCCATAGGTAAGGCCCTCAAGACTGGGTTTCTCTTCTTTCAAGTAAGGCAAGCATGGGCTTTGAAAAAAAAAAAAAATGGAAAGAGACAACTTTGCTAGAAAATGCACTACCCTGGTAGAAGTCAAGTCCAACCCCTGCAGGAATGTGCATGCCTAATATGGTAGTGTTTACTTTGAAAACAGCCAGTAACACTCTTCTTTCCACAGGAAATCAAGACCCTGCTGTTTGGTTCTACATTTTGCTGCTTCAATGAGGAATGGAAGCTTCAAAGCTTTTCCTTTAGTGACACAGCCTCCTTACGATATGGCATCGTGCAGAACAAGGCAGGTTGCCCTTGTGCTTAAGGGTGGGGTGGTGTTCATCGTGGCTGTCCTAGGCCTGCCAGTCCCATGTTTACTGAGTGGTCCTTGGGGCAGACTCTCCAGGGTTGGAGGCCCTGCTTTGGGGACATGCTAGCAGAACACCCACTTGCTGTGGGTGCTGCCTGGCTGAGGAAGCAGCTCTGAGTATGCTTGGGGGTGCTGGAGTAGCCCTCAGGCTGAGCCTTGAGAATGCCCCAGATTGTGTAGAGAGAGCAGGAGAAGGGGCATGCTGGGCTTGCAGGGGAGGCTGGGGGAAGTCTAGAGGCTGAGGGGGAAGGCTGAGATGTCAATGTAGAGAACCCTGGTAGAAGTCAAGTCCTTGGAAGGCTGAGATGTCAATGTAGAGAGCAGCGTGGAAGAGAAGCAAGAAAGACAGAGGTGGCAGGCTTTACACATAACCTGGATGTAGTTCCCAAGATACACTCAGGAAGGCCCAGAGATACTCCAACTCTGGGACCAAGGATCACAGCATGGCATAGGGCAACTCATGCAGGTTCCATTCCTCAGGATCCCAAGGCCTCTCCCTGCCCCATGGTGCCCAAGCAATAGTGCTGAGACCACTGGCTTCAGCCACTCCATCACAAGGTGAAGCTCGGCACCTCTCCCTGAACCCCTGCTTCAGGGGCACCTCTGGCCTGCTGCTCTGGGCACTGTTGGTGCTGTTCAGTTTCACTGATGTTTGCTGATGTGTTCTAGGCACCGGGGGCTATGCCAAGCCTGTTATGTACAAGGATGAGCTCTTCCAGAATCACTCATATTACGGTGTGGGAGGGGTCAAAGGCACATCTAGTTCGGTGCTGAGATGGCCCCCAGGGTGGACAAGAGAGAGTTCACATAACAGATGCTGCTGCACCAGTTCACTGCCAGCTGAGACAGTCATGAAAAGCTTCGTGGAGGAGGAGGCCCCTAGGATGGGTCTTGAGGCCCGGGTACATGACTGACACTCAACCGGCGCACACTGAAACATTTCCCTGGATGATGGGAAACCTATGGTGATGTTGCTGGCTTTATGTATGACTGGTTGCGAATAGTCACTTTCCTCCCATAATGCCTTGCAGACTCAAGCCTTCCTTTAAGGGTGGGCACTGAGGTCTTATCACCCCTTCTTCACGACAGCGTCAATGGGTTGTAGATAATCACCATGCCAGAGGGCCCCACTGGTGAGGGAGTAGTACAGCGGGACTGTGCCCTGTACCCTGGGATAGGGCTGGCAGGGTGGGACCGAGGCTCTGTCCCACCCTGGTGCTGGTGCTGACAGGCGTTGTTCTCTACAGGGTGGCCCCTGTGGGGTGCTGGCGGCCGTCCAAGGCTGTGTGCTGCAGAAGCTCCTGTTCGGAGGCGAGAGTGGAGCCGACTGCTCTGTGTAAGTCTGTGCTAGCTCTGGCGGTGTGTGCCTTTCCCGAGGCAGCTGCAGAATCCAGAACAAACAAGCGGGGAAGTGTGTGTGTGTTCCCTGATGTTTCCCGTCTCCTGGAGGTCAAGATGCGAGAGGTCATGGCGGCCAGCCATCAGGGCCCGCGCTGACCGGTGCACGGTGGACCCGCCTGCCTTCCTTTCTGGGAATAGGGAGGGCTGGTGGGCACTGTACCCTGTGATTAGCAGCTGCTGGAAGTATTGAAACCGAGCCCACTATCCCCTCAGAAGGTTGCACAGCAGCTGCGATGCCTTCTCCACTTTCATTGTCCTGCTGAACCTCTGGCCCAGTCCGGGGCTCACCTCCTTTCCACATTAGCGCCCCTCTGCCAACAGCCTGAACCATGCATCCCGGCTGGCCCCACAGCACATCGCTTCCACTCCAGGCAGCCACACATTTTCCATTTCACACATTAAGTGTTTGCACCCGGGCAGCTCATGCCTCTGGAATGTCTCTGCACAGGCAGTGCGGAAGCAGGAAGATCGGATACGTTCTCCCCTCTCCAGAGATGCTCTGTGAGGTCCGGCGACCCAAGAAAGGCATAACTCCACCATGGCTGGTGCCAAGAGAAAATGTGGGGAGGTGCTGCAGGCCAGCAAGGCCTTCCCAAGGAGGCAGCCTTCTTTCTTCTCCCTCCTCGAATGCTCAATTAATTATTTGCTTGTACCCAGTCACCCTCAGATCTACAGAACCTCTGGCACTCGTGTTTTTCTTTTTAGTTGAAATATTAAAAAAGTGCACTCCCATGAGACATTACCTAGATCGAGAGAGAAAATATTCCCAGCGTGTAGGAGGATCTCTTGCTTATGGCCCGTAGATACCCTACCCCTTCTCTAAAGGTAGAGCTGAACAGGCTCTAAACCCATAGCTTAGTTTTGCCAGTTCCCGAACTTTATTGAAAGGCACTTACTGTTTAAAATGAGTATTTTAGCACCTTTAAAATACACCCAGGTGTTGTCAAGACAATAAGACCAGCTCAGTTCAGAGATGCAATTGCCTGGAAGCAGGGCAAGGATGGGGGTTGGCACCAGCCAAGCTTGGTTCTCAACTTTCCAGTGTACATGATTTTGCTTCAGACAGGGTCTGAGCGAAGGTAGTTTTTTCTTTTTGACATCTTACAATTTTTTCAGTTGTTTCACAAGACAATTATCGGGTTGTTTTATAAGATAATTGTCAGGTTATGGGGAGACCAAAAGATGCTACCTATAGGCCTAACTGTGTGACATTTCCATAACACAGTCTCACCTTGACCTCCATGGTTGCTTTGCTTCCTGCCCTGGGTCTGTCCACAGCTACTTCCTGTCAATGCAGGGTCACGCCTCTGCATCCTGTGGATGGCTGGCCCGGCATATTGTAGAAGTTTACATTTAAATCATGGGCAGAGACTGTGCCAGTGACTCCTGGTGAGGCCAGCACAGCTCAGTGCCCAAGAGCACTGCTGGCGGGGGAGGGTGTCTCTTGCTAAGCGAGGGACCTCTGGCTGCCCTCAGAGGGTGCAGGGACTCTCCAAGCACATAAGCTTCTGCCTGCCTCCCTTCCTAACACACATGTACGAGAAGCATGTGGGATGTGCTTTCCCAGGGGCTTGGCAGGCCTATGGGGCTGAACAGGACAGATGTGGCAATTATGACTGAACCAGGACAGGGGGTGACATGCAGACTGCCAAGGCTTCACCTGCACCCAGCCATGAAGGGCAGGCTTCCTGGAGAGGGCATTTTAACCTCATTGCTGTCCAAAGGAGGAAAAAAGCCCTGATTCCCCTTCACAGACATCCTTATTCTTTTTCCTCCTCCTAGATGATACCCTCAAAGTCTTTGCCTAATGGCTCCTCTCGGCACCCGTCTTCACGGAGCCCTTCCCTCACTTCCCAGGGAAGACACACCTGGTACCACCTCTCTTACCTCCCCCACCACGGTGCTCTTGTTCTTCAGCGGACTCACATGTCCGTGTCTTCCCCTCTCCCTACAGAACACAAGTTCCACGAGAACAGGGCTTTTCCAGTCTGCCTGTTGCACAGCCCTGTTGCCAGCAAGCAGCCAGTTCCCTGGTCCATAGGAGAGGCCCTCAGAATTTTTGCTGAATGAACACATGGACAAATGAATGAGCTATGCAGACAAATGAGCGGGGGAGGTAGAATAGTTTTCCAGTAAAGAGAACAAGATGTGCAGAGGACTGAGGGCAGAGGGAAGAGTGGGGTGGTGCTAGGGGTGGCCAAGGCTGCATTTGGAGGGGCAGGTGTGACCTGGGGCCTGGAGGTGATGTAGAGCCAGGCCCCCAGAGGGGCCTCAGGGCTCTTGGGACCACTGGCTACTCTGAACAAGCTTTGACCCTTGTGAGCAAGGTCTCATGACTCATTTTAGCCCATGGCTGAAGAATTGCTTGTGAATTTCAGCTTTGGACTTTTGGGGAAAGCTGTGGATGGTTTCCCAACAACCAGGATGTAGTGTTTACGTTGCTTCCATTAAGGGCTGATCCTGCCCGGGGCACGAGGCTGGCGTGGCTCCTTATTGCCTACCACACCACCCACTAAGGGATGTAAGGGCTTTTGTAGCCCTTTGTTAGTCAGCCTTTTGTCATTGTGACCAAATGCCTGAGGATATCAATTTATAGGAAGAAAGGTTTATTTTGGCTCATGGTTTCAGAGAGGTCAGTCCATGGTTGGCTGGTTCCTTTGCTACAGAGGAAGGATGCGTCAGAGGGAAGCTGCCCACCTCACAGCAGCTGAGAAGCAGAGGAAGGGGAAAGGGCTAGTGAGAAAGGGGCTGGTACCATGGCAGAGCTGAGACTGGCACAGGACAGCCTGCCTGACACACCATGCTACTGGGCCCTAGATGGTCGTGTGTCTGAAAGAGCCAATCATTGGACACCCTCTAGACTCTGAGATACTATGGGTGGCTCTGTTTAGGAAGGGCTCCTCTTTGCCCTAATTTAGAAAAGTTCTGCACAAAAGAGTGCAGAGATGTGAGCAAAGTGGAGTGGTTGTGCACGAACCACTCCCACCCAGCGCCTCGGCATCTGTGGACCGACCTGTACATGACTTACGTTGATGATGCTTTTGCACGGACCATGTGCCCTGGGTAGCTTTGGGACTGCAGCACTCCCTTTGATTCTGAAATTCCAGGGTTTCAGAAATGATCTAGTTTTTCAAAACAGGAGGCATGGTCCTCTGCTGTCTGCGGGAACACCTCAACACCCTGCTGCCAGCCAGCCTGCCAAGCCACACATCTGCAGCTCACAGCCCCGGGCTGGCCCTTTTCTTTCCTGCCCATGGGGTCTGCAGGCCTGGGCCAGGGGTGGTGGTTCTGTGAAGGCAGAGTGCAGGATGCAGTGACACCCTCCAGGGCAGATGTCCTGAAATGAAAGCTGCTTGGCAGGGGCAGTGTTTTTTTCTGCAGGACTGTCTGGCCTCATTAAGATTCATTCCATCAGGCAGGCAGCCTGCTTTTCCTCTGTTGGTCTGGCCAGGCCATGGTGTTTTTCCACTTGAGGGGGGCATGTGCCTGCAGATATTGAGCAGAGAAGATGAGCTCTCATTCTTCCTGAAGGTCTGGGCAGAGCCCTAAGCCAGGAAAGGCCCTCAGAGTCTGGCTGGGCCCAGGGAATTTCAGGGATGCTATCCTATCACCCTCCCTTCCCTTCTGAAATTGAGGAACTCAAAACTCATTGGAGAGGCTGTCCTGAGATACAGTGCTGAGAGTAGAAACACCTCTTTACTCCAAACCACTTGGGTAAGTGCAGGATGTAATATTCCCCGCCCCTCCCTGGACAATTTTCCTGGGAGGAATTGGACTCTTAGACTTCTCCTGTTATAAGAGCCTGGCCAGGTGCCTGATTCCTGGTAGGAGTGTGACAAATGTGTCTGACTCCTAGGCAATATGGGACCTCATGGTCTCATCAGGGACAACTGGTGAAGGCTACTGCTGGGTTCTTCAGTGAAGGCAGAGGCTGGGAGATCTCATCCTTCTTCCTCCACTGTCGCTGTGGGACAAGCATGCAGGTGCGCGCGCGCGCGCGCGCGCACACACACACACACACACACACACACACGCACATACATGCGCTACCTTGTCAGCTCTGGGGCAGGTGAAAGGACAGAATGGCAAGACTGCAGTGATGGCAGGGGGCATCAGACTCAGTGCCTATATTCATAGGTGGGAAGCAAAGACCAGGGAGGGCACAGGGCTCCCCAAAACCTGTGAGCCAGGAGAGAGGCCAGGCTTCTCAACTGCCTGACCATTGCACTTTCTGAGTCCCTCCGTGTCTCAGAAAGAGAGAACCAGGGAAGCATGGGGAGCCTGGAGACTTACTACCCAGGACCTGGGGGAGAGACAGAGATTCAGAGGTGCTGACAGCAGAGAGATGGAGTCTACAGGCTCAGGGAGAGGATCCAGGAGCAAACCCTCCTGAACTCATCACCAGGTGCTAGAAAGATGGACTCGGAGGCAAAAGGACTTTGGTTCCTAAAATGAGTTCCTGGGAGAGTTGGTTCTACTCTTCGATGCTCTCCTTCCTTTCTCAATGTCTTTCTCCCCCAGTTTTTACTAACAGTGAGACCTTGGATATATTGTATCCACGCCTCAGTTTCCCCACTTTAAAAAGTATAACAGTACCTACCTCTTAGGGTTGTTTTCACAATCTGACGAAATGATCCATATAAAGTGCTTATTAACAGTGCCTTGCCTAGATAAATACTCAGCATAGACAGGCTTTTTAAACCTTATCTGTCACTGCACCGAGAGGCTTCCAACAGAGGCATGCCTGCTCCTGTAGGTGGTAGAGCACGGTGTTTGGTGGGGTCCTCTCTGTTCCACGTACAAAGGTTTTCCAGCCCAGGCGCCCTAAGCGGGATACACAATCTGGGCATCCTACCAGTGGTAGAGTTCCAACTGGGGGGCACTGTGGAAAGATACCCCTCCACCCTGCACACACAGGTTGTGTGTGTGGGCCTGGGGATGGTCTGGAGGAGTGGAAGGCTGATGGGGGCCCTGGCTGTAACAGCTCAGCTGAGGATGGGGACAGAGGAGCATGGGTGGGAGCTGGGAGATGCCCAGTGGATGGGACATGGCCACCTCTTGGAGGAGAGCAGGGCATGGACCAGGGGCTGTGGGGGTGACAGAGACACACTTGTGGTTTCTGAACCCAGAGATAAACACCCAGTCCTTTCTCCTTCATCTGATAAGCTCTCTATTCCAGTCCCCCATAGTCCTTGGCAAGGCCTCTCCTGAAACCTTGAGTGATGTTTCCTCAACATTGTTCTCCCAGTTAGCAGTACTCCAGGCCAGGGCTCCCAAAAGCATGGGTTGTCAGGCCGGGTGATAGCATGGTAACCATTTCCTCTGAAGAGCAAGAGGGCTTCCTGAGCCCAGAGAGGGTCAGGCAGTGTGCTGGTTTGTTTTCTTAAGAACTTTGAGTGCTTGCTGCTTGCCTCGTTGCGTCAGAAGGATTTGCAGTGTCAGGCACATGGTAGCACTTTCAGATCAGATGCTGGGAGCACCCTTCTGAGGACTGGAGGTTTTCACAAAGACAGTGGCGATAGGAACCACTGACTGGGCATTGACTCCATGCCGAGCATGGGCCACGAGCCTCACAGACATTATCTTGTGCCAAGCTCCCAACACTACAAGGGGGTGCAATTGTCATTGCCAGTTTCTGGACGGGGAAACCGAGGGACCTTGCATTTTAGAGTAGTGGAACCACAACAGCCTGACTATAGATTCCTGGCTGTGTCCCACCCCTAGGCTGTGAGCACTTGCTACCCTCCATGCTGGCTGCGTCCTGGTCTCCTGCTTCCTTTCTCCTGCCGTGGGAGGTAGGATAAGTTTCAGTGTGTGTGTGTGTGTGTGTGTGTGTGTGTTTCATTTGTTTGTTCTTTTTTTGCGACTAAGTCTTGCTGTATAGCCAAGGCTAGGCCGGAATACATGATCCTCCTGCCTCAGCCTCCTTAGTAGGGGATAACAGGCATGTACCACCGCACCAAGAGAACATGCATTCTCCTCACACAACTCAGTGTGGATCCAGGTGTTGTTTAGTGACTGAAAAGCTAGACTCTCCCCTCTGCGTTCCTTTGACTGCCAGCAGGATCTTCATCAAGCCCTTTTGTTTGTGAAGAGGAGAGACCCACTCAGTCTAGCTTCTGAAATTAGAAAAAAATTCACAGAATGCAGAGGAAGGCAAGAAGTGCGGCGCTAAGGAGCGCTGGAAATGTCACATGGAAAGAAACATCTATATTTGGCTGTTTCCCTTCCTCCCTCTCATTCCCTCCATACACCAGGAACCTCTTAGTCACCATTTTTATTGCAAGACAGTTCTCTGCCACTTTTGATAGCGCTGCTCCATAGCTCTGTGCTTCTTAAAATCTTTTGTTCCTAGCCTGTGTCACTGCCTGTTCTCCTGGTCCTGCCCTGTCTCTTTGACCTCGATGCCTTTGAGGTCTGCAGGCTCCACCCTGGACAGGCTGCTGCTCTGCCCTTCCTCACCCTCTCCCTGGGCAAGCTCTGCCCAGCCCCAGCCCGCTCCTGTGCTTTCTATGGGTCCAGTGGTCTCCCTGGTGGTGCCTGTGTGCACCTTAAGCTCAGTGAGTCTGAAGTGCAGCTCTTCATCCCCACCCTAGCTGCCTCCTGCAGCCACACCCTCCTTGTCTCAATTGGTGGCACCTGTGTACCTCTGAGAGCCACGGGGTCATCCTTGAGTCCTTCCTTCCCCTCACACCCATGCCCCATAGCTGTATCTGAGTACCCAGCCAGTCAGGCTGCCATCTCCACAGGCCCTGTAGTGGTGGCGGCAGGGCGCACCTGCCTACACAAGCTGATGTCTGCAGGGGCCGGATGTTGGACTGCTCTCGGCTGTGCCTGAGATGGTGGTGGTTCCGGGTGTGCCAGGCTTGACCTTGGGGGCTCTCAGAGCCGGCAGCCCTTTGTCAGCACACTTCCAGCCTGCCAAGCTCCAGAGTCTCCTTCCTCCAGGGGTGGCTTCCTGTGCTTCCTCCTCCTCTGTTCCCCCCTGAGTCTCTTTCCTTGGCCTTCTAGGGAGAGTGCTTTCTGCCTCAGGCTCAGCCATGGAGTTCCTGGCTGCAGGTGAACTTCTGAGGGCTGGGGAGAAGATGAGCACCTGAACATGCTCCATGGGGCTTCACCCTCTCTGCTGTGTGTCCCTACAAGTGTAGATGCATTTCTTCTCTTGCCCACAGGCAGCTGCAGCCTTCAGATGCCCTTCGCACCCGCTGCCTGGCCCTGGCCATCGCAGACATCCTCTGGCGGGCTGGGAGCCGGAAGCAAGCCGTGGTCACCCTGTAAGTGGTTTCAAGGGCCCTGTCACCACCGCTTAGCCTCTGCTGGCACAGGGTACAAGGGCTGTGTGTGCCAGGCAGCTCAGGCTGGGCAAGAGGCGGTTCTGGCACCTGGGTTCCAGCTCTCCTCTTGGAAGATGTGTCCCTGTCTGTCCTGCCTCTCCCAACCAGGGGTAACCCCAGGAAACCCTTGGAGAAAGCTTTAATGCTCAGGTGCACCTTTTAACGAGTTGTACCACCCCTCCCATCCCTACAGCATGCTTTCAACTGCTCTGTCACCTGGATCCCCATTCCATGCAGGGAGGTGAGCCATTGGGGTGCGGCTGACCCTGTATTCTGTCTCCCTGACCCTCAGCTCCTGCCTGCCCCCACAGTCCTCATGGATGTAGGCAGGCTCCATGGAGTATCCCCTTCCTCCCAGCTGTGTGGCTGAGCCTTAGTGAAGGAAGATAACTTTGAGGCCCACATTCTGGGTGACACATGGGTCACTGCAGCAGATTACCCAAGAGGAGGGACTCTCTGAGGCCTATAGGTATTTTTAAGTACTGGGGCTGAATCCAGGGCTTTTGCCCTCAGCTGCATCCCTACCCAACTTTTAAAAAACAATTTGAGACAGGGTCCCCTTGAGTCACTAAGTGAGGCCAACCTCAAAACCATTGCTTGTTGGCTTTGGGCAGCTGACTGACCTGATTACCTGTTCAGAAAGTGAGGATGGTAATGATTATTTCATGGGGTGATTGTGAGGACTAAATGAGTCAATATAAATAAATGATATGTAATAAATGTAATACTGTTACTTAGCTTGAATCATTTATCAATATAAATACGTGATAAATAATAAATGCGAAGTGCTTAGGATGGTGTCTGGCACATACGGATTAACCCTGCCCCTTAGGCTGGATGTGGTTTAAGGGCAGATGGGATAGCAGTTGGGTTTCTCTCTGGTTTTTTTTTGGGTTTTTCTCCGGTACCAGGAACCGAACTCACGACCTTGCGCTTGCCAGGCAAGCGCTTTTGCCGCTGAGCTAAATCCCCAGCCCCTTCTCTCTGTTTTTAAGATTAAGAAATAGAAGCTCAGAGAGGGAAGGGCCATACAGCAGCTAGTGGCACAGCAGGTCCCAAACCCACACCCTGCTCCTGTCTGTGCCACAGGGCGCCGCACACCCAGAAAAGTCACTGGGAGCTTTGCAGTGGGAAGATTCAGAGAGAACTGGGGCCACAACCCCTCCATCTGTGAAAATGCTGCCAAGCCAGCACCCTCTCATCTGCAGGTCTATTTGCTGGTGCGGGTGAGAGTCAGACTTCTTCCTACTGCCAGGGCTTGGGTTTGCTTATTCTAAGCTTTCCCTCCTCACTCTGTTTTCCATTCCCTTTTTCCTGCTAGTGAGTTCTCTGGACCCAGGCTGCGGATGAGTTCAAAGCAGGGGAAACGAGAAACCTTTGGCTCTGAGCTTTGCTCTGGAGCCACCTTTTTATTTGTCCTCCTTTCATGACATATGTGGTTTTACCCTGGCTGGAGGGCACAGCTTTTCTCCTGGCAGAGGATTCATGCACCTTCTTTTCCTTTTTAGGGCTTCTGGAACACAGCAGTTCAGTCCAACGGGGAAATACAAAGCAGATGGAGTCTTAGAAACAGTACGGCTTTCTGGAAAATTGTCACGCAATCTTTGGCTTTGTTTGGGGACTCTCTCCTTTCATATAAGTAAATCCATCCCCAGCTGGGATGGGCCACCCTCCCTGTAGTCCAGGCCTCCTGAGTCCTCTCCCTGGGGTTGTCAAATGGGCAGAGGCGGGTGGCTTTGGGGATGGACTCCTGCCGGGGCTGCTGTATGCCAAAAAGGGCCTACAGCTTCCTGTCACTATGAGGATGACAGGGCTGAGGGTCTCCAGCAGTCTGCAAGATACCCTTGGTTAAGCTCTAGCCTTTAGCATCTTCTTTGGGGCTCTTATGGGAGGGTGGAAGGTGGCAGCAAGGGAGACAGAGAGGAGTTTAGAAAGTGGAAAAGGACTTTGCTAACCTGGGCACCAGCCAGAAAGTCAGACCTGGTAGTAAAGTAGGAGAGATGGACATTCCTGTAGTTTTGAAAATGTGGATGCAGTGAAGATTTGCAAAAATTCTCCCCTCTTCACTGAGAATTGTTTTAACTATTGAGATTCATTTTTCCTAACTTGGGGCATAAGGGACCTTGGGACATTAATTAGTGGCTTCACTTCGTTGAATTTTTTTATTCCAAAATATTTTTTCTTGACCTGCCTAAAAAAGCAAAGGGAACCCAATCTGCCACTTCTCATTATCTCAGGACCCCCCAGTGGTGCCTTGCCCCCACCTGACTCTTGTGGTTTGGACATGGTGCCCCGGCTGCCCCCCAGACCCTTCTCAGACACTGTGACTCGCCATGGGGTATAGCCCTCTCATGTGGCCATGCAGAGTGCAGGGTCCTGTGCCTTAGTTTCATGATGGGGGGTTCCTGGGGGCTCTCACATGGGCCAAGGGCTGCTGCAGGGCAGCCTGAGCTAAGCTACTCTCAAGTGTGGGCTGCTGCCCAATGCCCACTCTGCTGGATCTGTGCTCTGCCCAGAGACATTGCCGGTGGGGTTCAGGCTGCAGGGGCTCACCACATGGGGTGCAGTCTGGGTCGTGAGTATGCAGCTCATCCAGTGTGTGTTCCTTCTCAGCTCACGCTCCACAGTGTGTCCTGCTATGAGGAACTGGTGACTTTTCTCCAACACACTGTGCATCAGGTATGAACTGTGATTTATTTCTGAAGCTTTTTCATCACATCATGCAAGAGACAGTGGTGGGCTAGAGTTGTCCTCCCTTGTATCCCCACCCTGGGTGTGGCGAGGAGGCTGGGAAGAAGCCTGTGCTGGCCTCCGGGTGGCAGAGCTGAGGATAGTGGGGTGATGTGGGCTAGAGAAGCATGGGTTTAGGGCAGGGGATCCAGTGTCTCCCTTGCATCCATGCAGGCTGGTTATGGACCTGGGGCTCAGTAAGCAGCTGTAGCTGGGGCTGGCAAATCAGGGATGGGCTGGACTAGGTCAGAGAGAAGGGAGGCAGCCATTGGACAGTGGCCACAAGAGTCAAGCCACTGCTTCCGGGGGGCCTGAACTCTGTCTGTGGAGCGGGTCCCAGGACCAACAGAAGGATGGAGAGGAAGCAGCTTCCTGGGTGGGGCTGGAAACCTGGCCCCACTAGAGGACAGCTGTGTGCCCACTGCAGACAGTGTATTGGACGGGGTGGGCCATTGTGAGCGTGGGTCAGTCAGAGGCTCTGGAGACTCCAAGTAGGGATGTGTAAGCTGGCAGTGTGGAGGAATAGCTGGCACATTCCAGGGCCAAGGACCTGGCTTCAGCACCTTCAGGCCTGGCTTTGGGTCCTGTTTGTGGCCCTGAACAGCTGAGGTGTCAGGCAACATACTGAGCCTTCAGCATTCCTCAGTTTCCCCACTTGTCAGACATGGATAATAACAACAGTGCCTGCAGCAGGGCACTGTGCAGTGTGCCAGCACAACACGTTTCGAGAGACGCTCATGTTCATTGTTTGTGACTGTGGCTGGTGGTACCATCACTACTGCCACCGTGATTTAAGGCGGCCTTGGGATGGGCAGTTGCAAAATCAAGAGGGAAACAAGACAGGGAGGGAGCAGTGTAGGAAACATGACCTTGGAGGTCCCCACCACAATGTCTTGTAGGTCCCGACCACAATGTGTTGACATCTGTGTGTCAAAATGAAAGGACCGAAAAAAGGCTGAGTCCTTTTCTCCTGGTGACCAATGTTCTCTGAGCTTCCCCTCTGCTCCCTGTCATCTTCTGCATGTGAGGTCTGCTCCCTCATCCCCACGGAAGGCCCTGGAGGTTTTGGTGGTAAATGGGGACAAACTCAATGCAAGTGGGACAGGCCTAAAGCTCCCACTGTCGGAGACCCTCCCCAGCTTTTTCCTTCAAGGCCTGTAAGGTCTGGGCATCCCAGCCCTGACTGTACCTAAGGTCCCTCAGGGAAGAATCAAGGGGAGACAGATGTGGGGTCCCCAGAGGCGCCGGTGCACCTGAGACCCTTTCATCCCAGGGCTGTAATCTTGAGTGATGACTTGGCCAGGAGAGCCAGGGCCTGCACAATGACCCACATTAGAGTAACTTCCTTTCCATGTGGGCTGCTCTGTCTGGCGTGTGTGTGGGAGGGAGTCCTGGCCGAGAAGTCGGGAGCCCTGGGCTGGCTGTCACTTTCCCTCCTGTCCCTGGCTTTCTTGAATTCTTCCCTGGAATAGCCCAGAGGGCCATCTGCCAATACTGTGTCCCCACCCTGCCTCGAGAAGTGGGAGGGCCTGAACAGATGCCCAGCAGCCTGTGGCTCATTGATTGGTCACATGCAGCCTTGGGAAAGTCCCTGGGCCTCAATTTCCTCATCTGGAAGATGGAGCAGTTGTCGGATAACTTCCAGCTCCAGAGATGGTTCTCAAAGAGGAACCGGAGGCCCGTGGAGAAGAAGGCTTTCCAAATGAAGCACAGATGGTCTGTGCCAGTGGGCAGGAACATGCCCCCACCCTGTGAAATCCAGGGTGTCCTGAGGATACAGCGGTCTACCTGAGAGACAGGAGAGCCTCGTGCTTCCCCGTGCGAGGCTTGACCAGGTTGGACATGGTGTGACACCCTCAGGCCAGGAAAGGGATGAGACGGTGAAGCTCTGGAGGACAGAGAGGAGTTGGGGGACCCAAGGTTCTGAAGCCTGGTCACTGCCCTGATGGTCCTGGGCTGGCCTCTTGCACAAAGGGCCCTGCATCTTGGCCCTGGAGGGGTCCTCACCCCTTTGCCTGTGGCCCAGGGGTCCTGTGAAGCCTGAACATGGCAGGGATCAAGAAAGGGTTCCAGAGGGTGGGCCCCACAGCCAGGCCAGGAGCTGCTTTCTCTCGGTAACACTTCTGGGCTCCCTGCCCTCTCACCTGTCACTGACTGTGGCCCCCAGCTGCAGCCCGTCACTAGCAAGCCCGGCCTTTGGCACACACACAGTGCCCTCCCCCGACCCGTCCCAGTTTAATTTATGTTTTTGCTGGAAGCGGAGGAGCTGCCTCAGCACTGGGCTCACCAAATCCATTTTTCACGGACTGGACCTAAGAGGGGCTGTTTGTGCCAGGCCTGGAAATGCACACCGCACCATCTTGGCCAACATAAATAGTCTCCTTGCTGGGTTTTAATTACCGCTCCCCGGCGGGGCGAGGTGTCTGGCGACCCAGGGTCTGTAGGGATGCACCCTGCCCCTGCCTCCCGTGGAGCCCCTTGGTGGGCACCCGTCTCGCCAGGGCTGCGTGCTGTGCTGAAAGAATGGTCCCCTTCTTCCCAAGCGGTCCTCGACATTGTTCCTGCCCCTACCCATGGTTTCCAGCCAACTTCCCTGCCGAGTTGACCTTTCAAGCAGGCCTGTACCCTGTGGCCTCCTATGTCTTGGCAGCTTGAACTTGATGAGATAATTTTAATCAATGTTTTCAAAAGCCAAAGGGAATATGGGTCCATTCAGTTGTGTCCAACAAGGGCAAGTTGCCCCAGGCAGGGCTGGTTTCTCCTCCCTCTGCAGAGGGCTCTGGGTAAGGGCTTGTGGGGGGAAATGCCAGTTAATTAGGGCTATCAGTTTCCCATGTGAGCATAGTTAGGGCCCCCAGTGGGGGGCTCCTGTGTCCCGGACTCCACAAGTCAGTAGGCATGGCGGGCAGAACCTAGATGGTGCTGGGGCTTCCCCAAGATAAGGCAGAAGTCTGGCAGACACCAGTGGGCATTCCAGAAGGGAACAGAGACCGAGAGCCCGTGACTTCCCGAAGGCAGCATGCACATCTGCAGCTGAGCTGAGACCCAGGGTCTGTGGACGTATGTCCCCATTGTGTGGAGACCTCAGCTTTACTCTGCAATTGTCAGAACACTCCACAGACACTGCCTCGGAGAATGTGCGCCATAAGCCAAGCAAATATGCAGAGGGCTGTCTTTATTATTTTTGTTTTCCAAATGGGGAAACTGAGGGCAATGGAAGTGAGATAGATGACTGGCCTGAGATCACAGGACCAAGACAAGGTTGACTGAAGATTGTTGTATATTCATGCACTTCGTTTACCTCCAGAGTAAGATGAGATTGGTTGTAAAGTACAAACTGATGTCCTGAGGCTCTTTTCTGGCCCAGCCTAGTAAACTTGCTGGCTCTCTCTGGCCTTTGCACATGCTTTCTGTGCCTCCAGCAGTGGTCTGTTCTCCCCTGATCCCTGCTGTCCCTTGGGTTTTGAGTAGGCATCGCTCCTCCAGAAAGCTTCCTTGGCCCTCCTTCGCTCCGCAGGCTCCACTTTTGCATGAGAACACTGCCTGTGAGTCTCCAGAGGAGCCTGCATGTCCGTCACGGCTGGCCCTTCCCCACCCTTTGCAAGTGGCTTGTTCTTTCTTTCCTGAGAGGACAGATTCGCGTCTCCCTTGTTCACAAAGACAGCCTTAGCAGGGAATTCCTGTCGGTGCTGAAATTTTACTCAGCGTAAAAAAACAAAAAACAGACCGATGCACTTAGTAATTGAAGTACTGGAAGAAGATAAAGACTCCAAGGTGGAAGCAGCAGGGCCTTTACACGGACTTGTATGATTCTCCAGGGTGGGCTGTGCCCAGTGGGCTCACAGGACAGGCGGGCAGTGCACAGCCAGCAGTATCCTCACAGCTGACCCGGGTGCCAGGCCCTAATCTAAGTGATGTTAGCTCGCTCTTCACACTAACTTGATGAGGGTAGATGCCACAATTCTTGTCCTCATTATCATTGAGAAGATGGGGGACTGAGGAGCTGAGAAACATTCCCGTGGCAACCTAACTGAGAGCGACACAGCCAAGATTTAAGCCCGGGCAACCAGGCTTTAGCATGCGGCTCCACGCCAGGGTCAGGACTGGGAGAGAAGATGCTTGCTTTGGCTGCAAAACTTAAAGGGGTGTGAAAATTTAGAGACGAACACAAACAATATCTTTTAAAAATCAAAATTAATCTACAATATTCATAATGAAAAAAATCAAATATTTGATGTCTTAAAATATCCTAAAGTAGTGAAGTTTACAAAGAGACATCCTTGCACAGCCCACTTCCCACCCGGCACCCTAATCCTGACCCTGCTCCAAACCGGCTCTCTGCACATGCAGTAAGGAGCTGGCATTGAATGGGGCCCTGGACACCAGCCCTGATACCTAGGACCTGCATGACCTGAGGGAAGCTGCTCGTTTCCTGCGCCTTAGTCACTGACGGGTAGAAGGCAGTTACACCCGTGCCTGGTGTATTGCGTATTAATGGTGACAACCCCCACGAGAGACACTGGCATCCTGCTGGAGCCTGCTATGACTGCTGCAGTCTTGCCAGTCTTGCGGATGCCGAGGTCACAGACATCCTCCATGTTGGAGCGTGTGCTCTGTTCCATGCTGTCATTCAGGCCGGTATTCTTTAGGGGGTGTGGCTGGTGGGATCTGCGTGGGGTCTTCCCTGTGGCCACTGGGTGATGCCCAGGGCCAGCCTGGAGGACTGGAGGTGGGGGTCCAGGGGCAGGCTGCTCTGCGGTCCCCAGCGGAGTTTGCAGCTGAGTGGAAGATGGTGTGCCTGAGATGGGACTCACCCCTTTCTCCTCTCCCAGTTTGAAATGGGCCCCTACGGATGCATCCTGCTCACCCTGTCTGCCATCCTGTCCAGGTCCTTGGAGCTGTGAGTATCTTTCTCCTCAACAACTCTGGGCTGGGGCTATCTGTCTCCCTTCCTCCCACTTCCTGGGCCCCCTGCAGTGCCTGGCCATAGTGAAAGCTCAGGGGATGCTGTTGAAAGGATGCATGAGGAGGATGGAGGAAGAGGGGACAGTGTACTGGTAGGGAGTGACAGCAGTGATGGGCCATGGGCACACTTGTGCGGTGTTCCCTTCTCCTAGGTCTCCCAGCATATGTTGGGACAACTCAAGAGGCACCTCTTCCCCCTACTGAGTTGCACATACTCACCCCCCTGCTACATGTGCCAGGGATGTACAGTGGAGGCTGAGACCTCAGGGGTCCTGGAGCCCCAGGTGCCCTGGGCAGGGGTCTTGCTGGAGGGTAAGGCACATGACATCTGTAAGCAGCCAGCCTCTGGGGTGGGGGGAGGCAGGGAGAGGAGAAGGCTGCTGGCCCTAAGTGTCCCCTGTTTGACCCTTGCTGGCAGAGGCCCCCCTTCCATGCACTTTGATCAGTGTGACCCCTGAGGCTGCCATGCAGCCAAGTTCCTCCAGACAGCTCTATGCTTAGTAGCTGTCTAGGCCTTTCATATATATTTGTCACCTGGGCATTATGTCCCCGGGGAGCACAACAGATTAATAGCACATGAATAGTTCTGGAAAGCACAATCCATTGCTCGATTCCCTTCCAAGCAGAAGCAGACCCCAAGGGCCTGGATCCTTGGAGTGACTCTTACTTTGGAGAGGCCTCAGGGGAAAGATTTGGGAGCACCTCTCAGCAGGCTGGGAAGAGAGGAGTTTCTGAGCAGCTTGAGGTACGCAGGTGCAGGTCAGGGAGGCCCTGGCAGAAGATCTTTGCTCCTCTGCCCTGGCTGGGTCTGGCCAGCCCTGTCACTGGCCATTTTCCGGGCCTCTACTGACAGGAGAAAGGACGGCGGGGGCTCTGTGGCCTCCTGCACCAGCCTGCCTGCTGCTCGTTGTTACTGACCTTATTAAATCGGTGTGTGCACAGCACTTTGTAATGGCATTTTTCTTCTAATCCTGCCATAATGATATGATTCATTCCTAGCATGGACTCACGTGCATGGTGACCATAAGCCGCACCACCTTCTCCCCAGGCCTGGTTTGCTAATCCCCGGTTGGAGGGTAGGCGAGGGTCTTCTGGCCTGTTGCGGTGCCCTCAGGAGGAAAGGCCTGGTGGTGCTAGCCTCAGCTTCCGCATCTGTGTGCGAGGTCCCTGGCTTGCAGGCTTAAGTGTGTGCCTGATGCAGGGGTCCTTGGAGGACATATTTGTGCTGCTGTGTGTCCCTACCCAGGCCGAGGCTCCTCTGGGCCATCAGTGTGGGAAAGCTGTCACAGCATCAGTGGCCTCACAACTGCACAGCCCTGCCAACACACACACATGCACACAGGGACGCACAACTACATGCAGACACACACATGCCTACTCAGAGACACACAGATGCACAGATACACACATGGACATACATGCACAGATAAGACTCCAGCAATTCCCCAGGGCTCCTGAGGACCATCCTTGGGCCCTGCAGGCAGATGTCTTGAGGCCTTCTGGGACCAGAGGAGCCACACAGAGGCCTGCTGTGGTACTGGTCCATGACTTGGGCTTTGTCTCCCTTCTCTCCTTAGAGGCCAGTCTAGAGCAACATCCTATGGGCAGTGAGAACAGGAAGCTTCCTATATGCATGGTCCAATCCTTTGCCTTGACATTTGGTACAAGCAGCCCTTTGAGTCCCCACCATAACCCAACCAGAGGGGCCCCTGTTGTCACTGTGGCTTAGTAAGGGAGTAAGGGGTTCATTCCAGGTTATCAGTGAGTAAAGCTGGCACAGAGCTGGGCTGGCCTGGCTAGCTCTTCTGTGTTGCTGCTGACACACCAAACTTGGTTGAAGACCCTGGGCCGGAGCCCCTTCCCCGAGGAGTGGGGATAGATTCCTACCTTTCAGCATGGCTCTTCCTTGGGCACATGCCTCACACAGTGGGAGGTGCCATAGGACACTGCCTTTTCCTACTTTCTGGCTCGTCTTGATAACATGGTGGAGGTTGTGTGAACTTGCCAATAAGCACAGCTATGACAATGTCAAGCTGACAATAGACCCTCTGTGACCCAATGTTGACACTTAGCAGGGACCTCATGGGCAGCAGTGGGCCCTGAGCAATTAGTGTCATTTCATGCTGGGGCTTGAGAAGGGACAGGTAGAGGACCACGTCCTGGCTGGGGTGTGAATTGCAGGGGTGAACTTTAGGAGGCACCCTCTGTCTGTCCTCAAATTCAAGGAAGTAGGAGAACCAGGGTGCCATGGGCTGCCTCGGAGCCCTCCTTCAAATCCACGCTCCCTTGTGACCACTGTGGATTCTCCCAGGGGGCTGCAGAAACCAGAGCATTGTAGGACTTCCTGGGGGAGGAAGCCAGGCATGCCAGTGAGGATAAGAACAGCCTGGGCAGACCCTGGGGTTCACACCGACGGGCTTCTCATGGCATGTTAGCACTCTTGGTACTTCCAAGGGCTCTAGAGAAGGCCCTGTCTCACCCTCCACAACAGAGCCCATGGGAGAGTCCCCTTCCTACGTGCCTCTGCACTACACTTCAGCGGTGTGTCCCTGGGCTCTCTGGCACTCCCCACCTTGGCTCTCTATTGGGGGCCATGCTTGGCCGAAGTTTCGCTGTCCCCTGGGCAGTGATGACAGTCTTGGGTCTGGGACTGGAAAAACCCACCTCCTGCCTGCTGCCTCTTGGTTTAGCAGCTGGAAAGATCTTTCTTTAAGGCCGTTTGAACATGCAGGTGCAAAATCATTTCACTGCAGCACTGTTTAGCCTAACCAGGGCAGCACAGAGGGTGACAAGTCACATGAAAGCAGCCACAGTTGGCTTTGATGTAGCATCAGGACCCCTTCTCAGCTTGGCTGCTGACAAGCCCCGTGATTGACCCACCCTGGGTCTTAGGTTCTTTATCTCTAGCAGAACAGAACTGTGTAGTGCTCTTTGGACTCTTCTTTGTAGTGAAAGTAAATCTGATTTGTTTTTCCAAAACCTATTTCAAAGCTTGATATGTAAGGCAAAGGCAACAAAATGACTTTGGCAGGTGCAGAGGTGGTGGTGATGGGGGTGGGTCACTTGGCTGCCTCTGCTCTGCCTCTGGATCCCCAGGCCTGGCCAGAAGCCCCCTCTGGAGGAGCCACAGCTCTGCCAATGCCGCTCAGCAGTCTCTGAGCAGAGGGAGGATGGCCCATGGCTTTCCTGCTCTGGGGTTCGGAGTCAGTTCTGCCAGGGAGCCCTTTGATGCCGCTCCAGCTCTGTTACCACTTTGGTCAGTGGTTGAAAACATGTCCTGCAAACCCAAAGAGATAACAGGATCCTGCGGTCAGTGGTGGTCCGGGAGGACCCACCCAGTTGGCTCTGAATGCAGTGTGTGCATGTGCGTCTCTGATGGCGTGGTGGTTGTGAGTGTGTGTGGCAGGGGTCTGTGAGACGGTGCCCCTGGGTGGGAGGTGATGGGAGCCCTGGTGATTTGTGTAAGGTTGTGTGAAGGCTGCCACAACTGAGCGGGTGACTGTGGGTGTGAGTGTGATCGAGAGGGCGTATGGTTTCTCCTTCCTGGCAAAGACTACCTCCCAAGGTCCGGAGCCGCCCTTGCACCAGTCACTCCTGCTGTAGGCCATTCCTCAGTTAGAACAGAGCCCGGGTGGGGGCCGTGAGCAGATGCGGACCCAGCCAAGCACAGCCCAACCACTCCAAAGAACAGTCAAGACATGGGCCTTTGAGGTTTGTTTACCCCAGGCTGTGTGCAAAGCCTTGCGAAGGTTTTATTTTTTTCCACTTGATTTGAAGCCATTTATTTTCTTTCTTAAGATCTCTGGTTGCTTACAGTAAATCTCATGCTGGGTTTCATGCTCTTTTTGCTCTGATGCTTTCCAAGCCTCATGGCTAGAGCTCTCTCCAGGGAGCTCTCACAAGTCCCTGGGATGCTCAGGGGCAGCTCTGAGCCAGGCCTAGGCAATGCCATGCATGTGGGGGCTGCAGACCCCGAGGAGAGTACAAGCCTGACTCACAGCAGGGTGATGCTCGCCCAGCAGCTCAAGCCCAGCAGAGGAAGGTGGGGGAAGCAGCGTGTGAAGAAACCCTTTGCCTGCAGTGGACCTTTGGCATTCAGCACAGTGTTCAGTTCAGCTGCCCAAAGGCAATTTTGAAATTCCAGAAGAGAGGCTAGCTTGTCATTGGTTCAAGTAACTTTAAAACAGCACAAGCAAATATGGAGAGTGAGGGGCACCCCATACAGCATCCCCACCATGATGCCTCCCTTGTCTTGAAAATCTCTCCAAGAGATTAAAAACAACATTGGCAACACAACAGTTTCTTTCTTTGAGAAAGTAGCCCCAACGCGAATGCCATCCCTGGGTGCTGGCTAGAAAGTCAAGTGACAGTACTTCAGGTCCTAAGCCGAATAAACAGAGAACAAAGCTAGTAGCCCATTCATATCAAAAACCTGAGCTTTAGGTGTGGCTGCATCAGGAGCTAGACACTGTCTCTGGGACTTGTGTCCGTCCTCTGCCTCCTCATTCTTCTCTCCTGGCTCCCAGCTGTCTTCCCAGGAGGGCCTCCTGCGTGGGGGACCCCAGCAGCTCCACAGCCTCCTCTGTGCCCGATATCCATTCCTTATGCCAGCACCGTGGTCAGGCTTGGGCTGCACCCGTCATGGAGCATGAGAACCCACAGAGGTCCACACAGCTGGCTGGGAGCAGGGTGCACAGAGTCAAGATATAGAAGTGTAGGGGGTGTTGAAGAATAGGGACAGATGTAGGTTTGGGGGAAGCCTTCACAGAGGCCCCACAGGCTCCTCTCAGAAATGGAGAAAGTGATTACAAAGCTGCTCACTCCAGCATCTGCAGGCCACATTCGCCCAGAGAGGACCTACAGGGAGATGGCTGGTGGGAGGGTTGTAGTGTGAGGTAACGAGAAGGGCGGCTCTCCACACTTCCAGATGTGCCT